TAGTGGAGGTAAAGTATCTGTGCATGCATTCTGGCTCTATACAAAGGCATCCCTGAACTCAGTAATTCAGGACTTCCATTCCTTTCCCATCTCACATTAGCATCAGATGGACATTAAAAACCATCTGGGATGTTTAAAGGACTGGATCTCTCTGAGGGGGGTCTTTGTTCTGCAGCAGTGGTTAATGTGATGGGGGCACATTGGTACACAGGAAAACACTGCACTGACTTATGTTGTAAAAAAACATAAACTCATGAGTCACTAAGCGCAACACAGAAGGGGTGGCTAATAGAAACCAGCGGGGATTTTTCGGGTGTACCACCCTGTTTGAGACCGGGTTACCTTTGGTCCCACTCAGTCTAATTTAGTTTTGACTGGAAATCCAGTTTGGAAAAATCTTTCATCCTTGAACTGGACAAAGTTCAATGCCTATTCTGTCTGTACATAGAAGACCCTTACACACTTTTCTGCCTAGATGAGGAAGCAGTGACGTGCATCTGTCACACGTTGTGCGTATGGGGCTGAGCACTGTCAGTCACGAACCGCATCACACATCACTGCCCCCTATCGGTGCGGCACGGTACATTCTGCCTCACCCTGTACATTTTCTTTGAGTATCCATTGCTAATCAGAAAGACTAAATATGTCACACACACATTCATTAATGTCAGGGTGTGTAGTGCACGTGTGGCACAGTGACATCACAAGTGAGGCAACGCTCATCGCTGTAGCATCTTTCACTTCTCACTTGTATTTGAATAGGATTTTTTTTCCCAAACATGGTGAAGCTAGTAATGACACAGACATTGCACTTTATCTTTTCCCTTCATTTTCAAAGGCTCATTAATGAGTGGCTTCCCCTGTCTGCTGAGCAGCCCCTGTTACATAAACCCCAGACATTTATTGTGCAGTACAAACGGCAGGGAACTGCCTCCAGACAGACCTTGGACCTTACAGTCCAAGTTAGTTCACTTTTATTCAGCATTTTCCAACAGGAAAGTTATTTTAAAATTTCACAGTCTCACCTTAAGTCTTGTCACATGAAACCTATAAACGCCAGTTTTCCATCAACAATTAATCTTTAGTTTCCCTGTGCCTTACACACCACTGAGACTTTTTATACAACTTTCTAGCACAGAAAACCATCTGGACCACAGGTGGTTCTGTCTACTTAGGAAATTTGAAATAATTCTTAGGTTTACCCAAACGTTACATTAATGCTGGTTATTTTTTCCCTGTTCCTTAAAGGACATTTATCTGTCCTCTGATTCTGTCACATTTACTGAGTCACCTGCAGAAGACAGTTGTGTGACATGGCTGGAAATGTTTAAATGAACACCAAAACACACAACATGTGAGAAATATAATTTGATCTTTAAAGAGTTTATTTTGTTTAACTTGACTTATCCTTTAGATATTAGTTTACTTTAAACTTACTAGTTGTCATTTTTAGCTAGACTATATTTAGCTTTTAAAAATCCACCTGGTGTTTGTGGTCCAATTGTCTCGCCCCTTTCTTTTACAGAGTGGTTATTTTTGCTATCTTACTTGCTGAGAGGCTGCACAAGAGCTAAAAAAATAAATAAATAAATCAACAGAATCTCTGTTGGGGGAAGAGGGCCACAGGGAATGATAGGAGGTCTGGATTATCCTGAATTAAATTAAATTTAATCCAACCCCTGAGAGACTCACTCCTGCCTAACGTGTCTCTTGATGAATACCCAATATTACTGTTTGCTTTCCATCACCAGTGGAGGAGCAAAGTGGGGTTAAAGACAGTCACCCTCTCAGAGAGAGCACTGGGAGCTAACAGCTGTCCAAACAAAGGCCTGTTTCTTACTCATCGTTGCACCCTGGGTCACCATCAGTTGTGACTCACATGCACAGCCACAGCATCGTGAAATGTTAATGTTCTGAGCCCCCAGCAGCTGTATGCTGCATATGTAGGATCAGGTAGCGCATCTAAAGAGCAGAGGTCGTGGTGCGTGCTGAACAAACCTGTGCTCTACATGTGTAAAACACGAAGTGGTATAAATGAATGAGAATTAAACATGAAGCTTTCAGGTCAAGTCTAGGTTCAAATTAGACTACTGGTCTGGTCAGAGAGTGAACCTTCTCTATAAGGTCCAGAACATCACTTTATTTTCTCATCTGACACAAAAACACGACAATGAATTTCAAGTTTTCGAAGTTCTGAAAAAAAAAAAAACATAAAAATAAAATATACCTATAATAAATGTGTCACTGGAGGTATTTTCTCATATTCTGACCTAAACAGTTTTAAATGTTATCTCCAGAGTTGCATTGTTGATGGACCATATCTTAATAAACATCTGATGGTGTGGGGTCTGGGCAATATCTGCTGCAGTCATAAAGTGAGCCATAGCTTTCACGTATAAAAATGTCTGACTTTATGGGAGATTTTTTTTCTTTTTTTTTTTTTAAGGCAGCATAAACATCCGAAGGGCTTCACCTCTTCTAAATCTAACTTTACCATCTGCACACAGTTACGGTGCCATACAGTTGTGAGCCCCAATAGTTTATCCAGTTAATCTGGAGTAGGCAGTGTAAATGAAGCTATAGCCATAAATTCTGAAAAATATATCTTTGGGAACTACTGACCCATTTCACACATTTGTAAAACCCTCCAGCTCAAGTTTCCAGACTCTTTCAGAAATCTCTGGCTATTGTTCATTCAAGGGTGAGAGCAGGGAGAGAAGCTGAACTGATTTTATGCATGAGTATGTACATTGTGAACCCAGTATTTTATGAAGAATAACAACAATAGAGCAATGGGTTTTCTGTTATTAATGTTATCTTACGTTCTCAAGATTACTGTAAAAGACCTAAGCAGTCGAGAGAGCTCTGCTGTTTGTAATCCACTTATTTGTTAACAAAACAACATAATTTAAATAAATAAATAATAAAACAATAAATATTAATTTAAAATTTTCTAAAAATAAAGTATTAGGACAGGATATTAAGAGAAAGTTGAAACATTATGAAAAAAAATTGTACTTTTATGAGGAAAGCTCATAATCTTAGTGGAAAAAGACATAAATGTATGAGAATTGTCATAATATTAGAATGGCCATGTTTTTACAATTGCCCAGAATTGACAATAATCAAACACAATATCCCCAAGAGGGGCATTTGTTGCGTTTTAAGTATGGCATTTAAGAAAGACTGCCATCTAATGGTGAGCTTGTATAATAAAATAACTTGAAGTAGCTGTGTTTGTTTGTAAAGTGAGTGATCTCCAGGATCAGGAACTTGGCATCTCTTTAAAAACTTCCATTCTTTTTCAGTTTTTCTGATGAGGCTGCTGGTTGTCCTATAAGCATCATCGTGTTTCACGTATTTAACACAAAGGACTGCATGGATTTCAGCAAACCTTTACTGTCGTCTGAAATCCTCACAAACACTCTATATATGAGCAGCTCCACTCAATCCTCGGAATAAAACCCATAGAAAATGGAGTCAATCACTTTGACTGGCAGCCGTAATGTAAGCAGTTTGAAGCGATAGAGACCCTGCTGCCAGATTCGACGTATCTGTAAAATCCAGTTCATTTACAGATCCATCAAACATCTTCTCCTTCACACTCTCTGTTTATCTTCAGCAGTTTCCTCCTGGGACGAGACTGTGAAACAAAGAGGCTTGACCTATGAGATGGACGAGTCAGAAGCACATGGAGCTGAAACTCAGTCTGTGTGTGTGTGTATTTGTGGGTATGTCTTTGTGTCTTTGCATACACACATATACCCTATACGTGTGTATAAGCTATTAACAGCTCTAGATGTGGGTGATTGGACCTGCCCAGGAACATCTAATGCTGAGCAGCTGTCTGTCTACAGACTTACACAGCCTACTGTCTGTCTGCTGGCAGCCGTAAAACATACAGCTGCGCCTACACACACGCACACACACAATCACACACACACACACACACACACACAGAGCAGGATTACTAAGTCTCCCCTGCAGACTGACACCTCAGCATCAACCCTCTCTTAAGCAGAATACTGAAGTCCTCAAAGACATTACTATCTGAAGACATTTTTATGTATATATTTAATAATTTGTCTCCTGGTAAAGACAGAAAAGAGCATCAGGACTGCCTGTTTCCATAGAGAGAATGAATGACTGAAGCTTTAGACGCTGAGTCCCACTCAGAGACTCTTCACTGGACAAGAGACTAACTGACACATTCCGATAAGAAGTTTTTAAGCAATGAAAATGAGCAGTTGGTACCATGGATTTGGAGTTCCATCAATCAGAAGAAACTATGCCGGATAAATATTTAAGTCTGATTCAAATAATTTGGATCATATTTGCTGTTTTACCGGTAGGCTACACTCATTTAGTCTACAGGGGCCATGAAGTATAAAGCATATAGGGCTGTATGCTGAAGTGGCCAATTTAAATTTTCTCACTGGACAACAGATTTTCAAAATTTTTATGATCTAATATCATGATAATATTTATCACCATGAATGTAAATCCAAACTTCTGTTCATTTTTTCATTTACCTCCTAGTGATCCTAATCCAACATATTCAAGCTAATGACATTCACACACAGGTGAAGAAAAATCTCTCCGGTTCCAGAGTGAATCATCTGACTCCACCTCACTCTGTCTCCAACCTCCTCCACTGTTAACAACCATCTTTATGTTCCTCCATGAACTGTCTCTGATTTCTTTTCTCCATCTCCTTCATCTCGCTACAGCTCCAGAAAATCACAAATTTACCTCATTTACCAAACTGCTCATCCTCAGGTTAAACCATCAACACTTTCAATGATAGACAGCATAAATTGACAGAAACCAAAAGTTTTCCCATGAACCTTAAGTTCAGTTCACAGTTAAAGTCAGAGTCAACAGTGACAAACTCTGCAGTGCTGTCTCTTCATTCATTCACCTTCATGAAGCAATCACAGCTGTTATCCGGCTTCCATTCAACAGCATTTCATCCACACCAGGTGATGAAGGTGACTTACCTCACTCTCACAGAGCTCACGGAGTCAAATATGAGCAGCAGCAGCAGCAGCAGCAGCAGCAGTGGGAGACGCAGCAGCAGCAGAGCAGTTGTGTTGAAGAGCCTTTCTCAGGCACACATTCTCTCCATGCTGTATCTCTCTGTGGCTGACACTTCTGTCTTCCCTCTCTTTCTTCAGAGTGTGGACTGGAGTCTACCTACAGAGCCCTGGCTGATGTGGAGCCAGTAAAGAGAGCGAGAGGGAGAGAGAGAGAGAGAGAGGGAGGGGGTGAGAGACAGACAAACACAGTGAGCAAGAGAGAGGGTGTGAGGAAGAGAGAGAGAGCAAGAGAATCCCCTTTCCCTTAAACAGTAGACCCTTTTGCGGTCAGACTCCACTCCCACCTACTGCTCTTTTAAATGCCCCCCTCTGCCCCTCCTGCACCAATCCAGCCTCTCTCTTCAGCTCTGTGACTGTAGTGAAAACCAAGGAGCCAAAGAAACAGAACGCCTCAAGGCTGAGAGGAGACACAGAGAAAGGAGAGACATGAGGAGGCAGGTGGGGGGAGTGGGGATCGGAGCATTAGCTGCAAATTGCAGTCGTCGAGCCAATGGAAAGTGAGATAGATGGATAGATAGTTAGGCATGTAAGTGCATTAACGCATACCAGGAGAGAGACAGCAGAAAGTCAGCGACACTGAAGAGGTAGGTTTACATTCAAACGTAGGATGAGATTCCACCACATGTTGAGGTCTGGAGAGTACAGCAGTGGGACGGTGTCACTGTAGGAACACTAATGAAGGAGGTCCTACTAAAACTGTTCATATCTGAATACATAGTCTAGAAAAGGTCTTCAACAGGAGGTCTGCGGCCCCTAGTGTGACTGCCATGGTCTGCACAGTCATAAAGTCATAAAGTCATAACTTGTGCTTACTAAGATGGATTTCTATATATATATTTAGCGGAATGTTACTCTAACTGTAACTTTAGTATAGAAACTGTTTATATACCATGTACTGTATAATGTAATGGCTATCTGCTAAATCCCTGTATAATGGAGCACATTATAGTATAGAGTCCTTTATCTGAAATACATTGAAGAAGGTAACACTTTTTGTTGCAGTTACCTAATGATTCAGCAGAATAGGATTTGTGTACTTATTTGTGTACAATAATACATTCTAACATGTACTATTTAAACAGGATACTCTTTTTTCACTTTGGGTCAAAACGCTTGGTCATACCAGTTAATGGAAACAGTCAATTCTTCAACTATTGCAGAAAAGAATCCCAGTGTGATTGCAATGACATCAGCGTAGGCCAAACCTCTGAATGATGTCAGCAACTGGTTTAATCCAGGTGACCACAGCCCAGGGGAAAACAACTTGACCAACTACATCAAACACTCATGTCAGGAAGCTTTTCTTTTTTTTTTTTTTTTAGTTAGACTTTGTTTTAGTTTATAAAGAGAGAGAACGGTTGCTGTAATTAGCAGCTGCTCCGTAGTAAAGATCTTGGTATAAACACACAGAACAACTACATAAATAAACAGAAGAACAAAGAGCCCTGGAGTATATTACTGATGGAGCACAGGTCCAGAGTCGGCCCTGAGCAAAGTACAGTCAAAGGCTTTAAAGAGCAGAGAAAAACTAATCAGAATATTCACCACTGGAGGCTGCATGGGGAATAAATATATAATAAACGTAATACATTGGTCCACTGATAGTGGTGGTACATGTAGAATATAGACACTGCCCTTGGACATCTTTGTAGTTAGACATTATTTGAGTATTGGTTTTCCGATTAATAAATTGATATTTTTTATATTTATAACATACAAAGAATGGTTGACTGGAGTAAGACCAATGACCCAAAAAGCCAGAAAAAGTAGATAAAGAAAAATCACAGGTCTTGTGTCCTGAAATGATCATATAAGATGAGCCTGGATTTTTTGGATCAGTGTTTTTGTGATCAGGTCAGAAGTGATGGAACGATTAGAACAGAAACGGAAACACTAGATCAAAGTGTCCACATGAAGCAACCTGGGAGAACAAAACATAAATGTTTTTCACACATTGACAAGACAGCATGTGGGTCAAGATCGCTACTGAACACCAGCAGTGTGTGTGTGTGTGTGTGTGTGTTCCGTAGGCCAAGTGAAGCTTCTTTTCTCAGCAGGAGGAAATGATCCTCATCTTGTTGCTGAGAGCTGGTCTCCAGTCAGGCAGAAAAGATCCTTCTCTAATCCCATATACAGCACAATGGCACATATGTAGCTACGCTATCGGGTGATAAAAAGCAGATTCAATGACTTGAGGGGGCCTTAAATTCATTTTCATCTGCGCTCGGCCCCAAGGGAGAAGCAGAGAGGGAGGGTGTCAGGAAATCTATATAGTCTTCTTTTTTAATGACTTGTGGCTGTAATGATATCATTTAGAGCAGATGATGGTCTATGAATAGCACCTGTTTTAAAAACCTGTAAATCTAGATTCTCTACGTCCCTGCATCTGTTCATTTATCACCTTCCTGTTTCTCCCTCTCTCTCTCTCCGTCTCCTCTCTGTGTCTTTCTGTCCATTTCTCCACTGCCTCCCTGGACTCTGGCAGAGAATTGCTGTGGGGATTTTCTTCAGCATTATCATACCTGTTTGCCGACTTTCAGAGCAAGTGAACTGAGCTCAGCTTGATTTCCCAGATGACTCTTCTGTATGTGCGTGTTTGCTCGCCTGTCATCCAATTTCTGCTGCACCTGACACACATGTCTGCTCCAAAGAGGCAGGGTTTTTTTATAACTATATACATGATTACATAAAGAGTATAGTCATATTCCCTATTACCACATAACCATGTTCCTGTTATCGTCATGTAAAATGCACAGAGATTTAGATGTATAGCAAGTGTTGCTTTAGGATAAAAAAGGGGGGGGGAAAGAAAGAAAAATCCAGACAGACATTTTACAAAACTGGTTTGTACAACAAATGATGAAAAGAATTATGGAACACAGTGGAGCGAAGAGTGAAGTTTGTCACCGTGTCAACAGCTGGACTCTTATTACAGTAACACAGACACAGCCTCACAGAGAGTCCGGTAGTCTTTAAAATGATACAGAAGGGTAGCTGAATACAACGTCAGGTTAAAGGAGTTAGAACTGTGCAGTATTTGAAATAATCCAAATGTATTGCTGTCGTACAATAGCAGGAAGATAACCTCTTAACAATTTCAAGGTCAACTTCAAGCTCACTTTTCCCCCAGGTCCATGGTCATTTTTGGCTCCTGGTTCTTGGTCTTTTTTACTTTTACACTGAAGAAATAAAATATATATATGTGGTAACAGACACCCAGTCAGTTCAGTCAGTGACAGGGGGACCTAATTATCCAATGAAGCTGCTGCAGCCCTGGTGGATGTCAGAGGGCAGTAATATGGCTGCCGGCGGGTGGAGAAAATACACCACCTGCTGATGGGGCGAATCTGCCGATGACCTATAGAGACCTGTTTACTTCATTAAAAATGAATCAAAAGGCAATAGGTCCAACCCTCAATTCCTATTACTATTCTTCATCATCCCTCCGCCAATGTCTATCCTTCATTCATAATGCAGCACCAAGTACAGGTCTCAGGGAGGAGGGTCACTGTGTGTCCTTCCACCTCCCTAGAGCCATGGAAGTTTAGACCTGGGTTTAATGCAATAACGAGATAGTATTTTCATCATAGCAGGGAGATTAGAATAGTGGTGAAGAGCACAGAGGTACAGGAGCAGCCATCAGTGGAAAAAAAACCCTGCAGCCACACTATGTTAAACAATAGAGAATCAGCCTATTAGCAGTGATCCATAATTCATAACTCAGGGAATAGACGTCTCCCAGGACAGCTTTCATAAGTCAATAAGAGACTGAAGCAGCCGATTTATGCTCCACCGCTGTATTTGTTAAATCGTCTCCAGTGCGTGAAGGACCACCGTGTGAAAATCAGAGGAACGGGCACAAAACAGGAACTTCACACTGTAGTATTGACACAGCTATAATGCTATTTATGTCCTGATGCAGCCTTGTCCCATTTTTCTGGACCTGGGTCTGGGACTGGGACTAGGTGGCTGGGGTAAAGGTTTACAAGAAGTTTCAGAATGAAGCCTTTGTCAAGAGGCTTACAACCTGAAATGTGAGTCCCACGTCTTAGTAATCCATTATATGAGAATAGAGTAGTTACACCTTGTACGACAGCTATAGTATAGCAGAAAATAAAACTGGTGTAATGTGCCCCCTAAACAGCTGAGTGTTAAAGTTGTGTGATTAAAAGAAATTATTTGTGATTAAAATACAAACAAACAGAGTTCCGTCTCCTTTCCCCTCCTGTCTGTAATCAGTGTCATCACACCTCACCTGTGTCTCTGTCACTAGTCTCACCCGTGTCACCTGGTGCCCTGGGTATATACACCTCTCTCCCTCACTCTGTCTCTGTGAGATTGTTGTGTATGCTGTTTGTGACTGTATGATGCTTATGCTTTGTCTTTTTGCTACCCTAAAATCCCGTTTGTTTCTGTCTGTTTTTGAGAATTCAGTCAGAGGATGTTTTTAAGTTTTGTTTGATGACTAAACTTCCTGCACCTGTGGAGAGTCTCCATTTAAGTCCTGACTACTTCCTCTCATGGCAAGACGTAACGCAAACCTGAATGCATCCAATCTAGGTCCTCACTTTGGTTTAAATATTAGTCAGCTGTTTTTAAGCAACCAGTGGACTAGTGTAATTTACCACAAATGTCCAAAACCCCATAGTCCCTGACCTTCGGAGTATGTGCAAAGTCAGGAGTGAAACAGCGGTCAGTCTTTGGTGGTAACACAGTGCCAACTGTAACAACAGAAGAGGTGTGGTGGGCACTGGTTATAGGGTTAGAGGTGAGAGACCGCAGCACAGATGCAGGACACAGGACAGGATTTACAGGCTGTTAATACAGGCGAGAGCAGCACTTCTAACTGTGTGTGGTCTCAGCTGCTCCTTTAACAGTAAAACCTGGTGGCAACGTGACTTATATTTATACGTAGACCACAGACGAGTGAGGTGATGGCCACATTAGGTGCGAAAACAGCCATAAAAGTTTTCGAAAACTGGGAAGGGCACATTACGTTTTATTTGACTGAAGCAGTAGCTTCTCAGACAGCTGCTCCTAAAGACCAAGACCTTCTGTTTTAGCTGTAAGTGCAGGTTTTCATCCTTCTGCCTGAACATGTAAAAAAAAAAGTACAGGCAAGTGTAGGGTTTGACTAGCTCTTTGGTGGTGAGTTATTTTGCTAATAATAATCTAGTTTTGAGCCATAGTAATGTTCAGCTGACGTGTCAGGACTTACAGTGAAAACGGTGTCATTCACACCCCCAGCAGGACAGAGGAGTCTACAT